GTCATCATGCCTTGCCAACTTGTATATAAGACCATGTGATTTTGTAATAAAATCGAAATATTACTCACTCACTTTCTTGTTTGACTCATATTTTGGGTTTCAAGATGCTTATCTTCGGATTATGTTTTGTATTATATTTTTTGAAATTGTCGGCTGGTATTGGTTTTTTTTATAGTCTATAGGCATATAGGTAATATTCCGGCGTATTTCGGACTAAAATGTCGTATAATATAAGTGTTGCATTAATGAACTCAATTCAATCTGCCAATATTAATTTCCGACGTATATGACGGGAAGATTAAATATTAAAGAACTCCGCGAGTATTTGCAGTAGAAATACGAAAATACCACCAAAAAATTCCGCTTGATCGATACTATATATTCCGAAAGCTTGATATAATTTTATTGTTTCTCGCTCAATTTCAAGCGAAATTCTTACCTTGAAATCATCAATGCGGTGAAATTTATGCAAATGACGCATTATCAATTTTGCTGTTGCATTTTGAATGTTCCGCCTGATTCAAATGTTTGTATCTTTGCTTTTTTTCAACGTATAATAAAGACAAATATACCAAAAGAATCGCCATCTTCATTCTATAGCTTGGAGCAGTCTTGGGAAATTGCAAAATAATCTAAGTAAGTAAGTAAGTAAAAGCTTTATTTAAAGAGGGTAGCACTAAATAGCCGAGGCTAATAAACTTGTGGCCCTCATTCATAACTAGTATTAATTACATGCTGATGTTTAAAATATATACAATATTATAAGCTATTTACAAGGTTAAAAACTATGACTATAAATTAGATCAATGTATAGTTAATAATATTTGCTAATAGATCTAGATACTAAAATGATCTGTGCCTATTATGGCGATTCTTGTGGTCGGAAAGTGTTCAGCCAACTTCGGATGCCAAATTCTTGGTAAAGCATTACAGTTTCCTGGTAAAAGACTGCAGAAATCACTTCTGGAGTGTCTGTTTACCCTAGATACGGATTTTGATTGGCTTACACAGAAAAACAAACCTTTTAGAGCAATTTTCCTGATTATTGCGCACGAGAACGCATGAGCGTTGTAATGTATTGTGTTGTAATTGTATTGTTTGAATCGCATCCTGAAGACGTTCTTGGCTTTATTTTGCAAACTGATAGTGCTAGTAATGATGGAATGTCTTAGTATGAAGACAAGTATCTCAACCTGGCATTGGGAGTCGTGTCTGGAGTTTCAAGGCAAGTATTTTTATCATTTCTAGACAATTTCTATTTCAATGTTTTGCCATTGCCATGGCGTTTTAAGTTATTTGTATTTAGTGTAGCTTCACTAGTACGACCAAGTATGTCCTCATATCGGCAGGTACAAAACGCAGGTTGCAGGTTGGAATTTTGCAGGTTGGGAATTTTGCAGGTTGGAATTTTGCAGGTTGGGGATTTTGCAGGTTGGAATTTTGCAGGTTGTGGAATTTTGCAGGTTGGAATTTTGCAGGTTGACAGGAATTTTGCAGGTTGATGATGCAAACAATTATTTGGCTTTTCACTTTGTGCCAAGAATTCTACTTATTTAAATTTGACAGAAGAAAATATATTTTCATTGTAGATTTAAATATTGGAAGAGATCTAATTTGCTTATATTGCGTCGGAAGATTATTCCACACATCGATGCCGTTATTACCGAGCGTGTGTTTTTTATAATTTGTTCTAGTACAACTTTTGTGGAGCAATGATGCGTTTCTTGTGTTGTAATTATGGATTTCTTTGTTAGTTAAAAAATATTTATCAAAAATTTCTGGAAGATTTTGTAGATGAAAATATCGGAACATAAATAGACTTGTTAAGAAGTCATTCAATTTATACAAGTTTAGTATTTTAAGGTATTGTAATTTCCGACGTATATGATGGGATGATTAAATATTAAAGAACTCCGCGAGTATTTGGAGTAGAAATACGAAAATACCACCAAAAAATTCCGCTTGATCGATACTATATATTCCGAAATATTCATATAATTTTATTGTTTCTCGCCCAATTTCAAGCGAATTTCTTACCTTGAAATGATCAATGCAGTGAAATTTATGCAAATGACGTATTTTCAATTTCGCTGTTGCATTTTGAATGTTCCGCCTGATTCAAATGCTTGTATCTTTGCTTCTCTTCAACATATAATAAAGACAAATATACCAAAAGAATCGCCATCTTGCATTCTATAGCTCAGAGTAGTCTCGGGAAATTGCAAAATAATCTAGCCTATTATGGCGATTCTCGTGGTCGGAAAGTGTTTGGCCAACTTCAGATGCCAAATTCTTGGTAAAGCATTACAGTTTCCTGGTAAAAGACTGCAGAAATCACTTCTGGAGTGTCTGTTTACCCCAGATACGGATTTTGATTGGCTTAGGCAGAAAAACAAATCTTTTAGGGCAATTTTCCTGATTATCGCGCACGAGCGTTGTAATGTAATTGTATTGCTTGAATCGCATTCTGAAGACGTTCTTGGCTTTATTTTGCAAACTGATAGTGCTAGTAATGATGGAATGTCTTCGTATGAAGGCAAGTATCTCAACCTGGCAATGGGAGTCGTGTCTGGAGTTTCAAGGCAAGTATTTTTATCATTTCCAGACAATTTCTATTTCAATGTTTTGCCGTTGCCATGGCGTTGTAAATTTATCCCCGACCCGACGGTGCGAAGCGCCGTGCGAGGGTACTAATTCCCCCCCGGCTATTTACACCCGGGGAAACGAAAGCATTAGCCAAGTCTAAAGTTCATCAATGAGCGCAGGCGTGGGTTACCGTGAGTGGTTCGGTGGGTGGTCATCCTCACTGATCTCAAAAATATGTGGACTGTCATGAATAGCGGACACTGATTGGTCCAATTTAAAGTTTGCATTATAACAACTGTCGACTGTATGACGATAGTGAAATAGCAAACATTTCTTGATTTGATGATTGATAAATTTCTTGCAAATATATTTAATTTTTGCTCGCATTTTTGCAAGAAAGAAAGGGCGAAAGAATCGGCTAAAAGAAGGGAGCCGACGTCAACGGCTCAACAAAGGTAAGTTTGTTTTAAATATTGATTTTATAATTGCTTTAAAACCCGATGGCCACTTTGGCCCTTTGGCTTTGCGTATATGAAACAACTAAATAAGACAGCATATAATTTCAGTGTATTAATAATATTGATTCCCTTTTTTATTAGGCCTATATTGAATTTTTTAAATAAAAAAGAAAGCAAAGTTATTTGCATGCAAGAATTAGAAATCATTTTATTGCAAACTCAAAGTTTATCGATAAAGCCATTTTAATAATTAAAAAGCACTTTTAATAGTTTTATAAAGAACATTTTAAAACGTTTTGCGAAGCTTTTGTGGTTGAATTTTACCTTAAATTGAAGCTTATATTACGTATAATAACATACCTAACATATATATGTTGGGAAATTGATAATTTTGTAATTAAAAGTGATACTTTTAGGCGATTTTTCATTTGTAAGAATATTCTTAAAAAATTATTGTGTTACCATGACAACAACTTTGGATACGTCATGTTCGGAATATACAATGGTTTTGTCAGCAAGGCGAGGGTTTCTGCATGCATGTATTTTCTAGTTTGTACTTAGTATAGCTTCACTAGTACAACCAAGTATGTCCTCATATCGCTTTTTTGTGTTGAAATAATCCTTTCATACTGAAATTGACAAATATAAATGGTATTTATTTATATTTGTTGACGAAAATTTATGGTGTTTTAGGCATAAAAATCTCTGATTCCTAGGCGAAGTAAAATGAGCCTTGAGCACATGTTTGGTTGTTTGTTACATACATAATAGCCAAGTATTCATACTTATATCTTACTAGTTTGGCTGTTATTATAATTTTAAGTGGCACCATGTATATTATGTCTATAAAAAAGTTTTTATTTGCACTGATGAATATATTGATCCTGTTCCTTATCTGCTGTTCCTGTTTTATAGCCTCAGGGAAGTAGCAGTTCTGATGAGTCATGAGAACCCCACTCCCCAACCCAGAGGGAAAGTAGGGGGATGAGTAGAGGTAGAGGGAAGCCCAACCATTAGGACCCAAGGTTTCGAAAGCTCCCTGTCTAGCACCCCCACTAGGTCCCATAGTACATGATGGTCTTGACGGATATGATCCTGACACTGGGAATATTCTCCCAGCTTTTGCCCCTCACTTGCATGTCCGGGATCCATTTCGATCAAGCTTTCACCTGAAGTATGAACTGTGAGCTTGAGTTCATTTGGCTCTTTTTTACTAAGGGAATGCTTCAGGAGGTAGCTTCCTGGCCATACCAATACATATGCCCACATACAAATAACTCGAAAGTTATCCCCATATACTAATAAAGAAGGGTCTTGCAGTCCACCAACCTTGAGAGGTTGATTGCCTTTTAGTATATGCAGGTTTGGTAAAGGTCGACAGTGAGATTGAAAATTACTGGAGTGTAAAAACCTTATATCATGGTCTGTGGGCAATACAAATAATTTCTCGGGTTAGGTACAAAGCACTTATGGCGTTTGTGAATATGGTAGATCCTGTCACTAAAGACTACAGCAATAAACATCATCAAGAACTGTACCAGCCATCACAGAATATTGTTGTTGACAAACACAATGACAAATCAAGAAATAGGCTGGGAGGGGGGCATTGGGGTTTTCGGTATTACGGTTTTCAGATATTTTTTATGCGGTATTTTGGTAATATAATTTTTTAAGAGTGGTATTTCGGTTTTATTTAATCTTGTGGTACGCGGGTTTTGTGGCATTTTAGAACATGGTATTCGGTAAATTTAAGCTTGCATTGGCTTAATATTCTTTACTGCGCCCTTGCTTTGCTCGAGGACGCAAAAGCCTTGCTCTCGTTTTGGAATCTCATGTTTAGGATATTTTTGGATCTTGATCACCATAGGTATCGATATAACCATAGGTATCATTGATTGGATCATAACCATAGGTATCCATATATATCCAAAGTGCACATTGTGCACAAGAATACAAATGGCGGACAGTCGAATCGAAGAAAGACAAAGTGGTCAAAGTGAGGAGGTTATTATTGACTGTGTGGCATTATTTTATGAAGAAGGAAAAGGAGGGGAGAATTATCGAAAGAAAAATAAATTTAGATGCCGTGTAAGCAAGGAAGCGAAACAGATCATCAAATTGAAAGAGACTGTTTGGTAAGTATCTTGAAGTGAGCGACTGAGCGTGAATTCATAATTACACGTGAATAAAATTATATGTCTAAAATTAGCGTATTTTGCGACCTTTGAGATATAAAGGGGATGAAGTTAATGATTATAAACAGAACTGTTCGCCTTTTCTCTTCTAGATTTTTATTATTTAATTTATTTTACATAATATTTATACTACATCATACATCATAACATGTCCTGATGTCCAGCATGTTTTGACATATTTTCCTATATGGACTATATGGTCTATATGAAATTGATTTTTGATATTGATTTTTATAGTGAAGAAGCTGGTATTAGAGGCATAGCAAAGTCTTTAGGTCTAGGCACAAATTTATAAGTGGAATTGAATAGGTAAGTTTAATGTTAAAATCATGTGTAAATCAATGAATAAACATCACTGCATCAACAGATTTAATAGTGAATTTTCAATTATAACAATATTAGAGATAACAATTAATAGGAAATATATACATATATACCTGTATTTTCACATAGGGAGGCAAAGAAAGATGGAAGAACTGAAAGGATCTCAATAGAGACCAATTATCAGTTAGAACTGGAGTTGCCTTCTATATTATATGGAAAGCACAAAATAAAACGTAGGTCTGTCTCAGTGACCTCAGTATGTAAACACCATGAGTGAGTGTACACACTGCGGCTCTCTGGTACTTTCATTTACAATGAAGGCACACTTTACAGTGAAACAATTAGAATATCAACACTAAAATTAATTTCTTGTCATGAGTAATTGCCTGAATATTTCTAGTATTCAGTATCGACAGTATGGGATCTTATATGCACTCAAAACAACCCGTTTATAAACCAAGTTAAATTGTTTTGTTTTTGATCCCAAACCATAGATGAGGTTCATGGGTAAAACAAGTATTCTTTCCCCTCTTTCAAAAAATAATATGATCATATTGTATCCTGGGAAATGTCACTATTCTATATATCCCTCATTAAAATACATGGATATAGAGGTTTTTACAATGAAAATACTATATACATATATAGAAATTTGTGATTAAATATTCTTGTTAGCTTCAGCAGGTTTGTGGAAGTTTCTTTGGCTTGCCTTCAGGCTGTGCCCTTGTGACATCCACAAAACCTCCCTTAACTTGCTGCGAGATTTGATCACAAATTTATTGAGATGTCATGATATTACATTACTTATAATAATTTTTTCTTTCAGTTGTAATTTATCCACTAAGGACTGTTTTCACCCCAAAATGCCCCACAATTATCATTAAAGACAAGGCAGACACCCCCAGCAAGATCCTTCCTTCTACCTCTTCAGCCCATTCATCAGCATCACATGATTTAAATTATGAGGATGAGGCAAAACTCAATGAAAGTACAGCGCATGTATGTGGATTAATGTGTGACTTGCTTAGTTCACATGTGTACCATGTGAATATCTGGATGAGACGGTTATGATTAGATTCTCATTGAAAATTATTTCTTTCTTATTATACATTTTGGGTCATTTTGATAAGGCAAATCGGTCTCAAATAATTTATCCTAAAACTCCTACTGTACAGATATCTCAACTTATTTTATAACAACACAAACAGTTACCGTAACACTCGAAGAGAGGTTGTCAATCTCAGACAAACAATACTTTATACTGTATATAATCACAATTTAAAAAATAACAAAATAACTCCTCTTTTAAATGAGCCATGCAATTGTTAGAGGCGAGCTGGGCTAGATCTGATATACCGCATTTAATCATGACATTTTGTGAATACATAAGTGAACTTGGAAAATGCCAACTTCTAACACAGCATGATCCAGCATGAATCTGTTGACTTAGTTTGGGATAAACTATTTATTTTTTTATTTACCTAGAACTGTCAAAAAGGCAAAGCAGCAAACTGTTCAGGTGCAACACACATAAACTGGTTAAGGAGAATGGAAAATTGGTAGAGTGGCCATGTAAAATTTGTTGTGGAATTTGTAACAAAAATCTGAAGCTGCGTTATGATGCTGGTAATAAGGGAAGAATTTCTAGTTTTGATAGACGTAAGTTGGAAATTATTGATACATGATTACATGTTACAGTAGCTTTATGCTGTCGTATTGTACATTGAATGAATGCCTGAATGGTGATATTCCAATACATGCTTTATATTGTACAGTTGTTTACTAAGAACTATTGCAAGTGCATATTTTAATGTAGTATTTTCTAAATTTATTTTCTTAGATCACTATGCTAAGTGTAGTAAAGCAAAGGAATTAGGAAAGGATAAAGAGAGGAGCACGCTGACCATCAAAGATATTTTTGAACGTGCAGCAAAGCGGAACACACAAGAGGAAGAGACCTCAAAAAGGCAGAAGCGGACAGAAGAAGTCGACTCTGACATTGACATCTCTGATTGTGAAAAGTAATTAGTCTAATTAGATGTCATTAGACTATTAAATTATTACAAAACTTCTAGTAATCAAAATTAAGTATTCTTTTAATTTGTATTATTGAATGGCATGTGCATGTTGACATTGAAATAACTGAATAATAGTTTCTTATCATGAGCTTGTAGTTACTTAATTTTGCACTAATTGATACCAAATGACCTTGGGCGCTTTCGATTAACTCAGTCAGAACGGTCAAATTATTGAATGGAACACAAAACATTTGGGCTTCGAACCTTCGACCAGAAAATTTGGATTAAATTAGAAGGAGGCCCATTTTCGCCAAATTTTCGAGAAACGTGCCAGATCTTCCAGTAATACTGAGACTGGTCTAACCGGTCTAGCCATTAAATGGAAAGCGTCCCTTAATTACGTACAGTATCTGTAGACAACACTAGAGCACGGAAACTGTTTTCACCTAGGACGTATGACTCAAACTAAAGCGAGATGGAATATGATTCCTACAATGAGGAACATGATAGCTCGGTTTCTGAAGAACAGTCTGATGAGTATAGTTCGGATACAATGGAAGATGTAGAAGTCTGTTCGTGGTCCTCGTCCTTAAAATGGCGAAAATCGTTTTTAGGAGATCCTAGAATAAAAATATTTATGCAGGTGGTTTATTCCTAAAGGCCTTCCTAGTTGAACCGCCCTTGTTAAAATATTATTTTAGAACTACACCACTGCACGTTGTATACATATAGACCGCAAAACCAATATGAGATACTCGCAAAGCATTCTGGTAGTCGTAGTCAATTACCGCAATAAGCTTGCCAATAGGTGAATAATGCTGAAAAAAGTTGTGCGATCAGTAGCATTCAAAAAGGAGAGATAACCAAGTTCATAATCAAGTGACAAGTGAACTTATTAAGTAATATAATTGTAGCAAAATATAAAACATTACAGTAACTCTAAGAGTAAATGTTTAGAGATCAGATCTCAAGTGTCATTCAACTGTAATAAAACGCAACTTAAATAGAGTTATAACGTGAATTACACCAATAAGGCAATATTAACAATAATTTGCAATAAGTGCAAGCTAACAACGTAAAGGACCTTTTAACTCGTACATAATAGTCATCTGCCTTGACATTAGCGAGCTTAAGCAAGCGACGTTTTTGTCAACACGACATCATCAGATTGCCGAGGGGGAAGGGCTGGATTCAAAACTGTGTTTGTATCAGTTTGTGGTAATCTTCAACACACGTGACAAAACATGAGATTTTTAAAGTTTTTTGCTTGCTTACACGAGCGTCGATGCAAAATGCCGCCCAAATTAGTTATACCAATTTTCGGATGACGTCCGTGTTGACAAAAACGTTCGATCTTAAAATTTGAAATGTGGCGATTAAATTTGTAATCGTACACGAGTAATCGTATAGTTATGTCTTAACAGGATACAATTAGTCATGTACGATTATCGTAGGCAGAATAGTCACGTTTTACAATTTGTCATCAGATTAGCAAAAACTTTTTCTATTTTCCGTAATTAGCTACACCATTCGATCAATGACTTTATATACTACATAACAGGGAGAAAACCCAGATTACTCAATGGGTTCTTTCCAACGTTGCTTCACGATTACAACACATTTTTTTATCTAACGAAGATATTATTGGGGGTTTTTTCTCTTGCTTTTAGTAACGTGACAACGTACACAGGTCTACGCCAGTTGATATGGCAGTTCAGTGCGCACTACGACTATTGTCCTATGCTTCCATTCTCTCTTTCAAAAAAGCGATTTCGTCACCACTAAGGGTATGATTAAGAGCAATCTGAACACTGCAGCTATCAAACGCTGGGTTGCGGCCTTTAACGCAGTTAAGAAAAACGTGATAATGTTTGTTTTCGAATGTTTTCTTCCAATGGTGATAAGAAGTAATAAATACAAAATCGTGCTCCTTGTGTCTAATACAAAGCTTTTTGTCCATGTCGTGACGAGAAAAATCATCAGGCCCTTCTTTTAGGTCTTTTCGGCAGCCTGCACACTTCCTTATCCTGCCCGTTATGTCAATTAGCTGAAACGGAGTAGACATTATCGGTGCCACAGCTGGCTTGTCTGGTCTAGACCGTCTGATTGTAATTTTAAGGGGATCATTTGATGGTTCAGCTTGGTAATGGAAAAGCTCGCCAACCGTCCCTGGTTTTGGTCCAGGTTGTTGATTTGTTTCATTCCTGTTCATAGAGCTAACTGGATCTGGGGATGTTTTACGTTTCTAACAGTGGTCAAATTTAACCCATGCTTTTTGTTCTCTTTCTTGTAGACTTGAAGAAAACTTGTCAACTTATTTTCGCTGTGGGCTACTGAAATTACATGAGAACAAATCTTTCTTGTATTGAAACCAATACAAGCTTTGTCGCAAATGTACTTGCCACTGGCCAAATGCTTCACGTAATGAGGAGTACATGACAACGAGGATCTAACAAGAAAGCTCTGACTTTCAAATCCTTTGCGGATTGAATTATCTTCTATTAATTGCTCAGCTTTGCTTGATAGAGCATTCAGATCTTTAGCTGAGAACATGCTTCCTAGTTCTTTACTGCAAATAGTTCTCAGATCACAAAATTCGCTACTGCACGCAGATCTGGAAGTACTGGGATCAGCTATAATAAAACATAACAACATTAATATTTACAACAGCGTACTAACGGATAATAATTATAATAAATAAATAATAATAAAGTATATGTAAATGCTTAAAAAGCATCTTAATTCATACTAAAACACCCGACTATTTCATTCGAAACTGACGAAACCTCGTTTCTTAAGGCCTTCTCACTTTAAGATATTCTTTTTCAGTATAACAGTTTAGCCGATCACCATTGTGATTATCTTACTTCACTGATAATATTAAGTTTTGTATGTTATGCTTTATATCACCGTCGGACTGTGCAGTACTTACCACTATCTTCATCAACAAAACAAAGGGAATGGCTGTTAGTGGACGAACCAGGATGGACGTCAACGTTTTCAAGCTCGTCCTCGTCATCAAGTATAAGCACTCTTTTTGGGCCGTTGTTCCCAGCACCGTCTGTCTTGTGTACGCCATCATTTGTACGTTGAATGTGTGCCACTGGTGGGGCATGTCGGTACTGATAGACTTCGTTGGATCGACCAGAGCTCTCTCACTGAATTTACGCTTACCAGGGCTATCCTCGAAAAATTCAGATGGCGACTTCTCATATCTCTGGTACTCTGGACGTACGACGTACGGGCTCTCTAAACCAAGGAATGCTCTTCTCACATCACTTTTCTGTTTATCAATGAGCTCTTTCACATCATCAATGAAGGTACTCATATCTTTTGAACTGAAACCTTGCCACCTTTTTAGCAAAGCGTTGGCCGATTCTGGAACATTATTAGTTTGTACACTGTCCCCAAAGCCCGCAGCTCTTGATGCTTTTGCTGAGACGTGATTCAGAATATCAGAAGACTTGTACTGGCGAAAATACGTCGAAAAACTAGGTGTCTTCTTGGTATCTTTAAACTCCAGATAATCCCATTTGCTAGTTAAAGCATCAAGGTGATCTCTGTAATCTTCTACCGAGTCAGCCATAACCAAACCACCACTCCCAAAAATATCATTGATGATGATATCAGTTAGAGATTTCGAAAAACGCAACTTCCTGCATTTTTCTTCAATGTTTTTCTGAGCGTGTAACTTGCAAAGAAAAGAAAGTGATTTTTCAAACTCTTGTGCTAGAGCCTGTCTTAGTGCACTTTCAGAATCAGAAGAATAACCTTGTAGGTACAATTTAAGACCGGGCACTTGAGCAGTAAGCTTCTGGAAAAGGGTAAGATAAGTACTTTTATCTTTAAGCATGCCCAGCATCATCGGTCCCACCATAAGTGGGCATGTTGCCGGATCTCGTTTGGTATATAAGGTGGTATTCTTGTATGTAAGCCTCATGACGAAAAATGGACCAAGTTGAAATGTGATGTCTACATAGAGCAATGATTTGTGGCCATCAACATCATTACAACAGAAGTTTACAATATCGTCAACTTGATCATTTGTAAAGAGAATCACTTTTGGTGAATCTTCATCGAGACTATAGCATCTTATGAATTTATCTGTACAGTCCTCTACTGATTCAAGTTTCATCTTTTTGAGTAATTTCCAGAATAGGGTCAGACACGTTTTCTTTACCGGCAATTTTAAGATATTTGGCTTGATTTTCATTTCGAGGAAGTGATCCTTTTGATTTGCAGTGCTCAAGCCCGCCAACCGCTTCTTCTACCTCGTGCACTACTCTTTTCAATCCTTTATTTTGGTGAGTGAGTGTTTCTTTTATTTTGGAAACAGTGCTTTTGTACGTTCGTAAGTACGGAATTGTTGAGGTGGTGGAGTTCCCATGTGGTTTCACTTCAATTTTGTGCTCTTCGCCTTCAAAGTTGTAACGCATGTATACGAGGTTATAATGGGAACTATCAGGTAACATGACGTTAACAATGCACTTTTTCAGTGACCCATCACTTTTATTGATGTAAGGTCTTTGACACACCTGGTAGGATCCTGGTAATTTGTCTGCAACTTTGGTTACACCACAC